AACTAGTGCTACATTTATATAAATGACATCTATGCAGTCCTTACGCATTCCTGTGTAGCTGCTACACTACAGCAGTTGAATAATTCTCATCGTTGCACTGTCGAAAGTCACAATTTTATTTTCATTGCACAGGGTAAGGATGCTAGGAACATAATGTTTCTGCTATTGTTGTCTAAGCTTCTTTTTTACAGTTCGGATTCTTTTCATATTGCTTTTAGAAGGTACATTCTTGACATTCTCTCAAGAATTGCAGCATGTTTTCTAGAGCTGTGAGTAGGATAGTTTCTGTTAGGAGAGCCAAACAATCTGATCATAGCAATGTTGAGTACTAGTAGTATTTATTAACAGAAGTGTTCTTCGTAACAAGAAGCTTTTTTTAAAACTTTGAAATATTTTTGAGGGTTAAGAATAACAAAAATAAGCAGTCTTGAATCAGTTCAGCATATTATTAATCTTGATAACATGTTGCATTATTAAAAACAAGTATTACTGATTGCTGAGCCTTGCTAATGGTCAATGTCTATAAATATGTAATCAGTGTTATATGGAGTTGTATTATTCTTGTATTGTGCTTATTGATTAGATAATGTTTGCTGCTTAGTAACTTACAGATAAGAGAGATTATTTGGAGATCCTACATTGCCTTACGTGTCCTAAGAAGTGACATTGAACTGTGCGATTTAAGCAGATGTCTGTATATAAATGTACCAAATGTTCACAGTAGTTGAAAGCTGTAGGGAAAGATTAACCAAAACTTGGAAATGCGAAACAGCAGAATGCCAAGTTCTAGGAGGAGTCTCACAAAGAAGTGAGGGTTGTGCAGAAGAATCTCACTGTATCTTTTGACCTTTCCTTTACTAATAGGAAGCAGTGAAGATGGAGAAAAAGATTAAATGAATTAAAACTTCCTTGGACTACATACATAAAACATACAGACTACTTTGTGTCTGAAACTTCTTTGTTTAAACTCTGGATCCTCCTGGAGTAACACAGGTAATCAAGAAGTACTAAGAAATGAAAGTAAACACTGAAAGCAATGTTAAATCAGGACATTAATTGAATGTGTATTTAACTTTGTAATGTATTTTTAAATCAGTGCAATTTTGCTTTTCATTGAAAGATGATTCTGCCGCTGTTTTCAAGTACTTGAAGTATTTTTCAGATAACTTAAGAAACAAGTAAAGCAATTACACTACAGTCTGGTTTATGTATGAGATTGTATAATATTCTTTTTATATTTTTCCATGTAGTTCATTATCTATTTGAACATACACCTGTTGTAGAATTGTGTATAACTGTCCTGTGCAACAGGTGGCTGTGTTGCTGAAACTGTATGAATGATAGTTGATCAGTAGTGAGCCATATTTATTCAAAAAGATATCACTACATACTACTTTGCTTATTACAATTGCACTATGGATTATTCTTACTTTATTTCCTGATGATGTACAGAATCAAAATCTTAAATCTTTCAAGAAAACTAAGACAAGTTGAATTGGCCCAGTTATCCAGTTTAATTTGTCCTTTTCATAGCCTTTGCTATGCACGGTACTTGTAAAACATACATAACTTCTGAGTGTTATGTTAGACTTGCTGAAATCTTATATTCAGTACCATTTCTAAATTATAATGGTTGTAGATTGATTGTTAGTGTTCATGTTTTATAGGAAACTGGAAAAGAATATGAGATAAACTCTGGAATTTTTAGATGACAGACATAATGTCTCTTATTTCCTGAATATGATCCTACTGACTCCTTAAATTGTAATAGCGTCTGACTATATCATAATTAAGGGCCTTTCAGTTTTTACTACAATTTCTGCCTTGGAGAGAGAAGAGGAAGAATTGGCTGTACAAAACTGTGGAATTTATGAATCTCATAAAAAGACTAATTTCAATAGGCTGGATTCAATAGACGCTTGGCCCTTCAGTTGTACATTCTGTGAATTTTGAAGCTTATTCTTCTGCTCACTGCAGATTGGGGCTGCCATTCAGAGGCCTATGGTAAATCTACCTCTCAGTGATGTTATGACAATTAAGAATTACGTTAATGGTTAATGCCCAATTTTGCACCCTTTATAAGGCCAGACCTATTTTAAGATGTCTGCAAGGCTCCATGGTACCTCTTGAAATGCATACTGACCAAAAGATGCAGTATAGTAAAGTTTGCTTGGGAGCTGTCTCTAGGGAAGGGAATAATATGTGAGGTGTTTTTAACCTTCATACTCTACCATGCATTTAGCTAGTTTAATCTTTTAAACTGATTGGGAAAAAAAAAATAAATCCTATACATAATTATTACTCCAAAGTGAGTTTAGTTGAAAAACAAATCCCTAACCTCTTGGAATGCCTTATGTAGCTGTGGATCTGTAGGAAATACTGATAGGAGCAGTTTACCTGGCTTTGTATTTTAGGACAGTAAAAATACAAATGTACTAAAATACTAAGCACTTTGTATTTTAGTGGCTATTTTGGCAGGGCTTCATTATAATGGTGGTCCAAGTGCTCTCTGTTCAGATCCAGTCACCAGAGAATTTTCATCATGTGAAGTATGGGATGACTAGGTATTTTCAGATGTGTGAAGTTTGTTTTCATAAACCTCTATATGCATTCTGATGTTTTTTTAAGTATATTTTAAAATTACAGGAATATGTTCATTGCTTTTTCCCAGCATTATTTAGCCCTTAACCAGAATGGTTTCCATACCTATCAAAAGGGAATGATTTAGTTATGATGTTATTTAAAGTTGCCAGTGTATTGTTGGGATAACTTTTTCTGATGAGGCACTCAGGTTCAGAATTAGTCAGAACTGTTCTTCAGTATTAAGTGAGGAACTGAGTTTTCATGGACTTCTCCCAAAACATGATTTTAAGAGGCAAAACCAAGTAGTTCTTAACACAGGCTTACAGTATATACTGTAGAGGGTTTAAGGAAGCTGTGCGTTCCTCTCAGTATTTTCAAATGTAGGTAACTGCGCACAAATTATTGCTTAGAAATTCCGTAATTCTTGCATTAAACTCCTTGATACAGCTAGATTTAAGGTGTCTCTTCTGTAATTCTCCATAGTAAGAATGAAACTCCATAATGGTCTGCAAAGAACGTGTGGGCTTATCTGCCTTGCATGGTGAAAGATCTATCAGACCTGGAGGTTAGCCTTAATTTTGAATAATTTTATTTAAAATATAGTCCAAGGTTAAATAAAAGCTCATAATCCAGAATGTTACAATTTGGTTGTGCATTTTCTTTCTTATAATTCTGGAAAATCAGATGTTTATCTTGCACATCAGGAATTTCATTTGCTTGATGGAAATCTAAGATTTTTATTCTTTACCCCGGTTTAAAGAGAATCTTACATAGGAAGTGAAAGTTTACTCCTTTGTCCAGATGGACTCATTGCTAATGAATTGCCAAAGGAGCATTTTTTCCAAACAAGCTGGGATGTGTATGCTGTTAAGCAAGGTAATGTCCTTTTTAGCTGTACAATGAAGAGAAAGAAATATTTAAAGTTGACTCAACTCACTTAAACAGGAAATTTAATTACTGTAATCCAGTAGCCTGGATTGCAATATTATAAATGGGTCTTTTTTTTGGAAAAATTTATAGTTAAAAACCTGATCAACTATTAACAATATTTAAGTATCTGCCTAGCAGTCAGTGGCACAATGAAAACGAATTAGCAATTCCAACATGTTATACTATAATAAGGGGATTTGTTAGAAATCATTCATTAAACTGTATGTAACTTCTTGCACTAGCTACTTAAGCATGGTTTTCATTTTAGAAGTACATGTATCTATTTTCAATGGTTTATTATGAAGACTGGTTACATTTTAATTCCTTCTCTAGTATAATATATTGATTATTTGAATAATGAAGGCATTGTCTCAATTTGGCTACTAAAGTTATTTAAAAGATCTGATTTTTCCCACCTAAGAAAGTTTGTTTAAAAAGGAGGATCCGTAGTGAGAAGCCAACAGAGCAAGAAGTGTCCAGTTTTAGTGGGAACACCTGTACTCTCCCAAGTCCCCAAGCTGCAGATATGTTGCGTGTGTAACTGCATTTATGGAAACTGCCATTTTCATGGAAATGAACGGATTAAACATTTTTTCATATCCTTGTTGATGCACTAATGAAAGCCATTTAAGCCTCATTCTTTTTATCAGTATTTTTAGCAGATTTTTATGTAGTACTCAATCTTTTTCATGAGGAGGCTTGTTGGTAGAAAGACTTTTTTTTATGATTAAGCACTATGCTAAAATGTCAGCATTGTCAGGTGTTAGACATGGATATTTTTGTTGGAGTTGGTGAAAGGTGGAATCCAAGTATATTAGCCTTATAAGAAATAGCCTTAAATAAGAACAGAGTGTACAAAATTACTTCAGCTTTAAGTCATACAGAAATATCCTTTTATGTTACTGGTTTTGGTATAAGACTGGAAAAAATCTAGAGGAGAGTCAAACATCATATAAACTTATTGAAAATAAGTATTTGTAATACCAGCAGCCTGTTTTTCAGAAACTTGAATATGACTTACAGTTAGTTTTGTTTATGAAATTGTTTGAACTTGCACAGATGTAGGTGTAACTTAAATGATAAATGGTACTGATGTGTGTGTATATATAATGTTTAATTCTATTTGTAAATGAGAAACTATGTAACAAAATCATAGGTATGAGGTTTTCCTATTGTAATTTAATACAGGTATGAGGTTTATGGCAATATATCATAGTTAATGAAATTTCAGGTCAAAATGTCTTTAAATTGTGTACATTTTTAAATTGTAATTTCTACTGTATATTGATTATCATGCATAGTGTGATTCAAGAAACTGCTTGTAATTTAAAAATATTTAATATTAAAAATAAAATACAGTTATATATTTATAATCTCTTTGTCTGTTTGTTTATTCTTAAACAGGCACCAGCAATGTCCACGGTACAATTCTACTTTAAGATATATTTGTTAGTGTCCAGAGGCTGAGAAAGTACCAAAAGCTCAAAGCTACAGTCCCAGCAGATGAGTCTAGACTAAATAGTGTAGTTACCTTAAATATCTTCTAATATCACCCCTGTGTGAACTTCAGATAATCTGTATATGCAGTCAGTAGGGAAGCAAGACTCAAAATACAAACTGCGTGATTCTAACGATTGAATATCGCTTTTAATCCTAGAATTAAGAATTTGTAGGAAGAACGGAGATTTCAAAATTTTAAGTATCCTTCAGAAAACAGGTTAATGGTATGTTTTCTCAATATTCATTGCATTTATTTATAGAAGATGATTTTTCTGTTTCGTTTCTTTTTTTTTTTTAATCTAAGTGCATGTGCTGAAATGGTCCTAAGATCGCCAGGTAAATGTAGTACTTGTGTGTATTGGTAGCTTCTTTCACATGAGATCAAGACTGTTTCCTTCTGGGCACTCTGAGGCAGGAGGATGGTGCTGGTTTTGCCTCTTGTTAAGGTTGTGATGACACATCTCAGTGATGTCAGTAGTTAATGGAGGCTGCTGTGGAAGCCCCCACATAGTATTGCAGCTGTTCGAGTCCTGGCAACTGTTCAGTCCTGGAATGAGAAACTGGTATGAAGATGACTTAACTTCATTAGGTAAAATATAACTACTGGGCTGAAACTTGACCAAGACAGTGGTCATTACTGAGAACAGATGTAAAATATCCCATGGCACTAAACTGGTTGTCTTATATAGAACCTGTTATCAAAGAACTGGAGCACTTGCAATCTATCATCATCAGCCTTTTTGCAAGCAATGGAACTCCTTTGTCTGTGGGCCTTTTTCCCACAGGTGGGATGATAACTTGCACAGCCCTTAGCAGAACAGAGATGAGACAGGCTCCTTCCTCCTCCACCTGAGGACACAACGCCTGCTGCAGTAAGTACTAGACTGACCCCTCCTTGGCTTAGCCTCTGGTGTCAGCGCCTCGATACAAACACTGCTGCACAGCTGGTGGGGCGCGCTGCCTCCCCCCTGCCATTTTGTTGTCACCCATTTTGTGACCACCCAAGCCCCCAGAGCCTTCTGCTGGCTGCTGCCTCCAGGCTCTGCCCCCTTCCTGCGGGTGGAAGGGTAACGGCAATACCTGGGGGTCCCGTGCCCCTGCGTGACTCCTTTGCCGGGATCCGGTGCTTCGCCCCGGTACACGCGTGGCGCGCAGCAGAGGTGCCCCTCCCCGCGGGGCGCAGCAGGCCGGCGGCTGAGGCGCGGAACTCCCGCCTGCGCCGGCCCGGGCCCGGGCCCGCCCCCGCCGCTAAAGCGACGTGTCGCAGCGGGGCCGCCGTCCGCCTGCCTGGCGGGGCTGGGGGCCGCGGGCACGGCGGCACCGCCCGCGCCTCCCGGCTTGGTCCCTGGGGCTTGTCCTCAGTGTGAGGCGGTCCTGGTTCCCTCACAGGCTGCTGCTGTGACAGACCCTGGCTCAGCCCCTGCTGCAGCTCTGGGCTTCCCGCAGGTCTCTGCTGTGTCACCCCGCCGGCCCTAGGGCACCTTTTCCGCAGCTGGTGGCAGCGGTAAGTCACGGAGGAGGGACACCAGCCTTGATGGATGGATGCGGAGGGTGGAAACCTTGTTTGGATTTGGCTGCTCTCTTTTCAGTTTCTCTTGACCACCCCAGTCTGTTGCTCCTGATGTCCCCTCTCCATCTCTACTCTCTCCTTGCACACCCATGCCACCTCCCTGGGGGTTCCGGCAGCCTCGCTGTGGCTCCATGAGGTGATTTGTCCATCAGGTTACAGTAGTGTGCAGCAGTCTGAGAGCAAACCTCGGCCAGCTAAGCACCTTCTTATGTAATCCCATTTGCTTTCCGCTGGCCTGCAGTTTTAAAGACTACTTTGCTCCCACAGTTTGCTGAAGCTTCCTTTCTCTTGGATTTTCTTCCAGCTTTCTCTGCTGGCTGCCTTCAAGAACCTACTCTTCGCCAAGTCCTGTGGGCTGTTATCCTTTCAAACAGCAGCAGCTGCTCATTTTTCTGCTTTCCCCAGTGGTGCTTTTTGCACTGGAGGGGGGAAGTTGACTGCTCTCCTTTGCCTGCCTTTTCTGTCCTGCAGTTATTTGTTTTCTGCCAAGTGAGTTAGACTGAGTCTAGAACAAACTCAATGCTTGGCTTTAGTCCTATTGCTTAAGATACTCATGTGTCTGTAACATTTCTTCTACGCTCCCACAACACAAGCTCTTCCGAGCTGTCTTTCTCTCAGCATTTGTCAGCTGGGTGCTACCCTAACAAAACTGCTTTACGAATTTCTGTCCTTTCTGGCAAAGTTGCCTCCCTGGTAGTAAGGAACTGCAGGGATGGCCAGGTTGCTCTCACAGGCAGAGAAGTGAGTCACTGAATGTCAAGCAGCTGAAGGTGTCTCTGAAGACATGAGAGAGGAAGTGATATTTACTGCAGCACACCTGGGAACTGCTCACCACCTGCTTCAGCTAAGGTTAATGTCCTGTACTGGGATAGTCAAGCACCTGTGGCTAGGGTTTACTGTGGTTTTGGGTTGGTTTGTTTGGTTTTTTTTTGGCTCATGGACTCTCTGATTGCTCCTACATAATATCATCAGCATAAAAAGGTTTTTTTTTTGTTTTTAAGACCAAACCTTTCTATGACTACATGATCTAGAAGAAAATGGAAGGAAGCGTTTTGTAAATGCAGTGTCAGTAACACTGATTGTTGGTGTTAGAGGCAGGGTTGCTGTGAGCTGCTGTCTTCAGATGTAGTGTTGGCATGGAATCTGGGCTGAGGGAGGGTAAAATTTCAATTCTGTCATCTGCCTTGCTGACATGTGAGGAAGGAACTTTACTGTGTCTTTTTGGGCAACTGGAGAATAAATACTGCTCTTCTGCTGTTGAACTGGGCTAGAAACTGCAGTTAAGCACCACCATTATTTAATTGTTGTTGAAAAAGGGAAGTGCTTTTTTCGGGGAGGGGGGGGAGGACATGGACTAGCCCAGAATGCAGAAATGCTGTGGGTGAAAACATGTTGCTGGCCAAGAGTTTCTGAGTTTCTATATGAGGTAGTGTGTCGTGCTTCCCTCTAGTGGACTGCTCATAAATATAGTGGAAAACTATTTCTACCAAGAGCAACTACTAGGAATTCAAGGAGAAATTACTTTCAGAGTAAGAGCCTGAGGGTTCTGTCTAATACCCTACACATAAGCCTTCATATGTACAATGAGGTGGTATATGGTTTTATTATAACTTGTGGTAACTAGAGCAGGGAGAAAACAGAAGCATGTGAAATCAAAACACCTCTTCCTTCCAGCTGAAGGAGGATCTGTTGTTCTCTTAAAGAAAAAAAAAAACAAACCCAAAGGATTTCCTCCTCTGTTCATCTGTACAGGTCATCTTGACTAGTAACATTCTCAACTTCTAAAATGAACATCACTAAATTGAGAGCCAGTGATGGTTTTCCAGTAGTGAACAAGTAAACAAACATACCAAACAAATCTGCATCAGGTCATTTGTTTAGCATGGAACTGTGCAACAGTTAAAGATATTGGTATCATGTTTTTACAGTACATTGATGCTTAAAACATGAAGACTAAAACCAAAGGAAAGAAGCGAAGGCATACTGTTGACAAAGAAGCATTTTCTGAGGAATCAGCAATGAGAAAAAAAGAACTGGTGAAATGTTTACGTCACAAAGAAAGGAGGAATGGGGAAAACAAGGAGAGCAGCAAGATCACCACAGCCAGAGCCAAGCATCCTTGGAGCAGTAAGGACAGGCATTTGAGGAGACTGGAAAGCAACGAGCGGGAGAGGCAGAGAATGCATAAGCTCAACAACGCGTTCCAGGCTTTGCGGGAGGTGATCCCTCATGTGAGAGCTGAGAATAAACTTTCCAAAATAGAGACTCTCACACTGGCCAAAAACTACATTAAATCCTTGACCTCCATTATACTCAATATGTCCAACGGACACTTTCCAGCAGCAGAAGGGATGGGGGGAGCCTGGGGGTCCAAATTGTACCAGCATTATCAACAGCAACAGGGGGATGATGATCATGAGGAACATCTACAAAAATATTCCACATAAATTCATAGCTTCAGCCAAAACACCTACAGTTAGCTACTACTGTCATTCTTTTTTCTTCTTGCATGATAATACATGTCAGTACGTTGATGTTTTAAAAGATTATTTTTGCTTCCAGCTATCCCCTATTTTTTCTTAAAGGGACGAACAGGTAAAACTCATGGCTGTAGCTTATATGACACATTAAAAAATCACCTTAAATTATAAGAATTTTTCAGAGCTTAATGGATAGGTGTGTGGTGTGTCAGGGTCTGGAAACCTATCCTGTAACACTGTAGTTGACTTGAAAGTAAAGATTTCTTTTGAAAATCACCCTCCCTGGAAGGTTTGAGAGTTGAGCATTTAAGGCCATTACCTGAGTGCACTCGAGCTTGTTGAGAATTTTGGCAGTAGGGCTATTCACCGATCTTTCAGTGACTCAGTTCTTACATATCCCGCTATGGAAGAAATTAAAATTGATGACAACATTTGACTGACTCGATGAGTGAAGTGGCACATAAAGGAAACTGGCAACCAAATCGGAATCTTTATCTTGAGTGGTTTGGATTTGCTCTGATAATTCTGAACCTTGCAAAGCATAACAACTTTGAAAGTACTTGTAAACATCCACAAGGCTTTCTCAGATTGTAAGCTCTCTAGAGTAAGGACATTTTCTGGATTTCAGAGCATCCAGCCTCATGGAGTTTTTCTTTAGGCAGGTCTCTGCATGCTATTGTAATAATAAATAAGGAACAAATGACTTATTTTTTCCAAAACTATGATAAAAATGCTGTAGTATAGTTACAAGTTAGACAATTATCTATCCAATTACAAATTATTTGCTAATGAAGCCTGTAATGTGATTAGGGTTATTTCTGGGTTAGGGCTAGGTTCTGATATTCTAAAATACAATAAATGAAGCAGGAATTCTTCAAAGAGGAAAATGATTCTCTTTTTTTTTGCCTTTTTTTTTTTTTGTTATTGTCCCAACTGAGACTGTGCTGCCTATGGAGCCACTGTGTTACAGCTCTTCCTACCCCCACGCCCCGGCCCTACGCAACAGGACGGCTGTTGCTCTGTGGTGCAGATAGCCAACGTAGAATCTGCCCTCTCTCCTGGAGATATAAATTATTTGGATCCTGCCTCAGCTTGGGTTTTTCTTAGTTTCCAAACTGGTTTCACACAAAAATAATTGTGATTGGCCCTGCTAGGGCTCAAGTGTTAATTAAAATATTACCTAATCTGTTCTCGAATTGACTTGCCATAACAGTGCTGTATCTTACTTCATTCAACAGCTGCTCCTTATTGGTAAAGCCCTTGATGTATTTAGGTGTTGTCCGATTATAATGGGAGAAATCAGTACCACCGAGGCACTTTGTTTCGATTGCTCTACTTAGCATCTCTGCAGGTAAGAGCATGGTTGATGTTATTTTGTCCTATTTCACACTGTAGGTCAATGCAACCAGGACCTGCTGGGATTGTGCTAACACCAGACTGATCTGTCCATGGAATGGGGGGTGGTGTACTGGAGTGGGACTGGGCCTTGGCCATATCCAGCTGTAACCTCTGGCCAGCTGCAGGGCTGGGAGGAGAACACAGATGTGCACCCCTGCCCTGCACTGCTGGTGTCAGTGCCGGGAGGTTGGGGACTGTCTCATGTAAATGACTGTGGGGGGACTAAATAGGTTTGGGGATGAAAATGCACCACTCGGATACCTCCAATTCCACGTACTACACCGCGCCCCTGCTGTGGCAGCCCCGGGGAGAAGCTAGGAAGGTTGGTGTAGCCGTTTATGGTGTGGACTCCCCACAGGGTGGGGAGATGATCCGGACCCCGGTGCCGGCCTCTCCCGCCAGGGGCTTGGGCCAGCGGTGGCGGCGTGAGCGGCGGTGGCCGGGGGGGGGGGGGGGGGGGGGGGGGGGGGGGGGGGCGGTGTTTTGGCGGGTTCGTCCTCTCGCGAGAGGAGCCGGGGGCGCTGCCCCTGCTGAGGGAGCGCGGGGAGGCCGGGCGGTTCAGCGCTGGCCATCGCTCTGCAGCGGAGCAGAGGAGGGAGAGGCCCCGCAGCTCCGCTGGGGACGGCTTCGAGCCCGTGTGAAGACGCTGAAGGGCGGGATGCCTGGCACTGTGTTACAGCACGGAGCTCTGCCCCGGGGGAAGGACACTGCTGCCCCGGGCTGCCTCAGATACCAGCGGCAGCTGGTTCCTGTGGAACCTCCATCCTTGGAGGTGTTCAGAGATGAACTGGGCAGGGCTTGGAGTAGCCTGGTTGTATTAGACCTGCAGAGGGTTGGACTAGATGGCTTCCTGAGGTCCCTTCAAGCCTAAATTCTGTGGTTCTTTGTGTCATACAGTAAGTGATGACTAAGCACGTGCAGATGATCATTTTTTGTAGGCTTCTTTCATTAGTCTGCTAGACCATTATAAAAGAAACCTAAGAGTTCCCAGATACTGTCACCCCTGAAATGTTTTTGTGGGTTAGCCATGTTTAAATTGCTATTTGGTTACTTTGGCAGAGGAAGGAAATGAGTGAGTTGGAAAAGCAGTATTTTAACACTGCCATTGATTAAGAATTGCACATCGCTTTAGGAACCAATTATACTGATATTACCATTATAAATACAGAGTTTAAATGCTTGTGGCAGTGTACTTCTGACAGGACTTCCTGCAAACAGGCATTTAAAATATTAAGCCCCAAATGGTATGTACTATCTAGCTATAAATACAGTAGTAGAGGAGACAGATGAAGGTTACCCCTTTTCCAAACACAGCCAACCCCAATGAATAGTCAGGCACAGGACACACGCATTTTAATAGAATGACAACTGCTAATTCCACAATAGTACTTTGCTACAAAGTGCTGCCTTCTTGGACATGTCAATAGGGATTTCATAAGAAGCACTTTTTTCTGATAAACTACTTTTATTTTTCAAAATTGCTTCAATTTAAAGTCAATTTTCCTTAGTTTAAGTAGCGACAACAATGACATATTTTTAAATAATTTTCTAAATAATAGCTCCAAAAGGCAAGTATTTAGGACTCAAACATAATTTCTTTTGTTCACTTAAACCCAGCTTTTTACAGTAAAGTAAGTGAAACTTGGCAATGTAGGGAAAAATGCAAAGGTACATTATAAAGCTTATTGTATGAAATCAGTTTGATTGTTGGATATGTAAACACTGACTATTATAAGAAAATTTTTTTCAATACGATGCAGAGAAAATACAATCCTAATAATTCTCTAGAAATACATGTAATAAAGTTATTTATTTAGACAAGATACTGTGCAAGTTACGCAAAATCTATTATGGTGATTAATGCAAACATGTTATTTATGGTACTCCCACAATATACGTATAAACCAGAAATCTCTAATCACATACTGGAAAGATAAACAGGTTTTTTAAACAGTAGAGCATCTTGAAGCTTCATTCACAGTTGGACTGGGAAACAGTGCTTTCCTTGGCATTAAAATACCAAATATATTCTTTAAATACGTGCAAACATAAGTTTTACTTCTACAAATACAGTACTGAGACCACACCACACTGCTCATCATATAAAAATAACTCCATATACAGTCACATACAGAGAGGAAAATGAATGTAAACTGCTGCCCAGGGAAAAAGGTGGTGCCTTCCTGAAGCTATTGTATGAGGCTTTTTCAGGACTTCAAGGACTGGATTTCAAATAATAATTTCACATCATGGTCCAATTATAGTAAGAAAGACAGGAAAAAAAGCTTTTTTTGAGAATAAAGAGTGGGTTTTTTTTGTTGGAAGGGGTGAATCAATCACCTACTAAAAACAAAGAGCAGAGCTTTATTCCAAATCCATGTTAGTGTACGTTGGCAAACTCCACTGGAACCAGTAAAGTTGTTTTGCGTTCCTACCACTGTGAAGTCAGAATCTTATTTAAAACCTTCTTGTCTTTTACTATGAAAGCATAATTTGCAATGATCTGGAACACAGCCGAACTCAAGTGTTTGGTGCCTTCCAACCTCATGACGTAGGCATCTGTATACTTCAGGGAGCACGGTTCCATTTAAGAGGGAGACAAAACATGACCACCATTTGGACTGACAATGAAACTTTGTCACTCTTAGTCAGACTGAATAGGACAGTGCTCTTCCCATCGTCTCACTGAAACCAGTGGCTCCACTTGTTGATTAAGGTACTATTATTCACTGTGAGCACAGGTAGCAAAAATTGGCCCTTATTGGTGACCGTACCCTAAGCGGAATTGTATAGAATTTAATTTTACTGATGGGAGCAAGAATAGCGTGACCCAAGCTACATGCTTACATAAGCAGGACTCACATAAACAAAGTTATGTGCACATAAAAATGTTTGCACAATCAGGACCAGTTACGTTTGCCTGTAATTCATTTAAATAGGTATGACATCTTCATCTCTGCTTAAATACGAGAGAAATGCAGGGAAGGGAACTGTAATATTAATAAAAAAAGAAGTAAATGTAGTGACCATCTGCAAAGATATTCACATTTGTATGGTTGTGTAGCAGCTCTGGTAAAGGGTCAGAAATATAGTGTGGCTAAAAAGCTTGCCTGCTTTGACAGAACTATTAGCTCTATCAAGTCACATCTTACATGTGATGTAGTAGAAGATACCAGTATTTAAAATACCCTATTGCAAACTCCAGTTCAGTAAAATAGTAGTAGCACAAAAAGGTCATGTTTTTCTCTCCAGGCAATAGACATTTAGTTTCTTTTTAAATTACACTGACTACTGCTTGTTTGCAGCATGTAGATGGTGACAACTTAACAATTGACAGCATTTCTGTCCAATTCTTGACTTTCACTGACCATCACAGGGGTTTTAGAGTGTTCTGTTTTCCCTTTACTCTCCTCATCTTCTAAATCCTTTGATACTGCAGGGTTTTCCTCGGAAGTGTCATACATAGCAACTCTAGATGCTTCAGTTGCATTTCCTCTGACTGTAATGTGCTCCCATCCACCCTGTAAAAGATTGATAAAGAAATATAAAAGGAGAACTATCACCCTGCATTTACAATCTCTCTTGTGATGCTTCATGTACATTACTAGTTTTATACCGTTTTTTCATGAGGAAAGTAATCCTGCTCTGGGCTGAATCAGAAAAAAGGCTCTTCGTAAAACAAACCACAACACAACATACCTCCCTGACAGGAAGGTATATAAGATTGAGGATTATTTTTATTATAGGGAATTGAGATTAGTAGGGTCAGGCGTTCATAACGGAGCCACTGCAAGTTTTCCACCAATTTAAGAGGGGCCAAAACCTTGAAGTAGCTTTTCACACAAAATGGAGGGCAATACAGGGAACAACAATGAGAAACAACTAGGTGCAGACTCATAAGGAATCAATTTTTTAAAAATGGCACTTACTTTACTCATTTTTACATTATAACTTTCTATTTAAAATGAATACTTATCAAATGTAAATAAATTATTTCCCAGCTATAATTGTATAACCCGTTAACTTAAAAAAGGAACCTAAAGAACAAAGGTCAACTTCCTACAGATATATGTAAACTTTAGAAAGCTAGCCAGCTGGAGCAGGATGGCACATTCCTTTCCCATGGGTAATTTGTTATACAAATTTTGGGCAGTAGTATGCCCCCAGCACTTACTCCAATACCATAATCCCATGAGAGGCCTTTAGGCATCATTGGCTGAATACCAGTCCGATGGCAGACGGTCCCACAGCTCAAACTATGGCTTCCTTGCACTTTGTCAGCTATCACCCAGACCTCAAGAAAGCAAAGAGAGGCAATAAAATATGTTCTTCATGCTGCTCTTTTCAGACATGAAAATTTTAAGTCTCTTTGATCACTTTCAGAAATTGGTCTTGATTTTGTATAGGCCAAAACTACTGTAATTCAGTCAAACACACCCAAACAAACAGCTAGATAGCAGTGTTACAATTAAAACACTGCCGGACAGTAAGGCTTGGCTGGAGAGAGGTTAAATATATAAAATAGCCTTGTTAAAAAAAAAATGACAAAAATTAATGAAGCTTTTTACAGCAAAGGACTGACTGATTCACTATTTCATTGGCATGATTTTTGTCTTGCTATGAGGATTCCAGCATTTAGACAACCACCTTGTGGAATAAAGAAAAATAATTCTAAATATTTAATTTTATTACAGAAGTATGTTAAGCATCATTTTTAATAAACTAGTGAGATACGAGGAAGCTCAGTACACACCTGGTCCAGGGGCCCTACAGACATTTTACGGATATTATTTGAAACATGATCCCAAGTAGACCCTTGAGGGTAGCTTGGTGTGATACCTTGCCGGTACCAAAGATTGCCTATAAAAAAAATAGTCCTGGTTACAGCTCAGGATGTCTGCTTTGTATAAAGTGCTAGTAAACAACATAACAAATCTGTAGCTAATACTTTTTGTGTTCTGTGGAAATGTATTGTGGTTTTGATTAATGTGTTACAGTGAAGGACAGTGAAGTTCCTAATTGGAATTCCTACTTCTATAGTTATTTTTTAGAAATTTTCTGGAAACCAGCAAATACATTTTGTAAAATTTCTTGGTGAAAAATGTTCATATAAAGAACTATAGACTAGAGAAGTAAAACAAATGAGATGAAGATCTCTGAAGGAGACTGGTGTTAAAGGCTTGTTCTTTTACAAAAGGATGCTTTGTTATTAAACTTGCAGTGATTTGCAACAGGAAAGTATTCTTCTTCAGTTTTGCATGTTCTAGGGTACCAGACAAATCCTTCCATGCAACTCTTGTCTTTGAGATTCATCTCTTTCCCCCTACCCCAAAGTAATAGCATAAGTGCGGGATTGTTGCTATCTACAGCACTATCAGATATAACAAAAAGCAAGTCTTCAAAACCAGTAATTAAGTGGGCTGCCTACTCCATCTCTTTGAATATGAAATATCCTCTCAGAGCAACAGTAATCTGTCCGCAAAAGCTGTGAATTAGCCTACCCTTTTAAAATCAGATGTAAACTGATTTATTTTTTGTAACATTGATAAATAATTTTTAAAAATCCTTACCATTTTTATCCAACACAAACACGGACGTTCGTCCTACTGAGACTTGTTTTAGCTTTTGTTTTTGAGGTGAAGGAATATGATACCAACAGTCACCTAAAAGTCAGAAATACTTGAGTAAAACATTGAGAAAACAGAATTATGTATGAGAAGACTTGGAAATGTCTGCAGTTGAAATACATAGCTGTGAATGACATTACACTTAATATAGTTTTAATAGCTTGTTTTTAGAAACAAACACTTTAAATCATGCAAGTGAAGAGCAAATTAACTGCTATAATTAACATGAGTATTATTCATATGCACTGTTTTGCACAGATATTGGAAAGGACTCCGCTAAACAGATTAGTCTCTTTCAGACACAGCAGTGTAGTTGAGCTTACACAACGAGTAAGATCAAGACTACTAGAAAGGTACAAGTACTTACCTGCGGGTTTTCTTGGAGACACTGAACCCCGATAGAAGGCAGAACCATCTCTAGCAATAGCCCACACTTGGTAAAATGCTCCAATTGAGATGGAAATGAAGGGCTGATCTGTTCCCACATGCAGCCAGGATGTTCCCTAACAAATCATGGAAGATGAATTGTGAAGCAGTGGTTAGAAACTCCGCAACAAATTATCACTGATTACTGTTAAACAGGAAAATCCCTAGATAGTGAAAAAGATTCTAAAAAATAATTCTTACATAACTTTACAACTGAACAGAAACAAGGTCCCTAATCTTCAAAAATATCTGGATATACAACTAATTGAAAATAGCTATGTTGGACTGTAACAGCCTTTTCTGTCGATATCACTGGCATTTAGGCACCTACATGTCTGAATAGCTGGGCTACAGCTTTTTTTTTTTTTAATAATCCCTTGGATTTGATTACAAAGAACAATAGTCTCACAAAAATCAACTCATATAGGGCTTCAGATTCCAGACACAGCATTCTAGTTCTTGCTGTTGAAGTGCCTTACAGATCTGTGCTATTGGAACTGATTGAACAGGAAAGGAGGAAAAAAAAAGAATTCCTATAAATTTTCAACTTGTGCTTTTTCTCCAAATTCCACTAAAGTATATTGTTAGATTTTTTTCCCCTTTTGTAAATATGGCTTAAAATCAGTGCATATCAACCCTAATTTGGTGTTTCAGAATGTGTCTATTAGTAGGAAATAAATATTCCTATTGAAGTTACTGGGACTTTGTTCCTTTCTGCATATTTTACTGGACATTTGTTCATTATTTCTGTCCCAGTCCATAAGAAGAGTCAAATCTGTAGGTTAATCCAGGCCCACCTGTCTTAAATAAGCAGTCAGTTCTAGGCCCAGAAAAGTCAATGGACAAACTCTTACTGATCTCAATGGGCATTAGATTGGGACCATACTTTAAAGAAATTCTATCCCTCATCAGTTCATTTAAATGGGATACACATATTATCAACAATTAAAAAAAAAAAAAAAAAAGAAAAAATGGGGGAACTAAGAGATCAATGCAGAAAGGGAAAGTAAAGTGCTTCACTCACAGGAAGATAGACAAGGGCTGAGAGAGGCTCCTGCAAGTGCTGTGGCTCAAGCTAAGGCAGATTATGTAAGAGAAGCACTATGGTAAGAAATAAGGGCAGCAAACTGTGTTACAGTTGATGGACAAGGACTTTCAAATCTGGGACATAAAAGGGAAAAAAATAACAAGGTGCTCTGAGAGAGGGCACTGCATGACTGTGTGTATGTACTTACATAATTACATTAAATATATCAATAAGGCAGTAAGAATAAGCAGGGAGTCTTACCGCTGGATTTTGCTGTGTCACTCCAAGCCTGCAGAGCACATCTCCTTTGTCACTGATTGCCCACAGTGCTACTGCTTCTTTGTCATCTGCATCTGAACTGGGGATTATGGAGATGTCCCACAGGGTAACAGGAGGCACTTCCAGCCATGGCCCGTTGGTGACTATCTTACATTTTCTGAAGAAAAAAAAGCCCAAACCTGTCAGAAGTACGTACCTTCTGTAACTGAGTTTGTTTCCCAGTCTGTTGGTAACTTCAGTGCAAACAATCCAGAAGGTTTTTCATTAAGTAGGTACAATAACTGTTAGTATTTTTAATTTGAAAGGGGTTTACAACAATCAGTAATATTTTGTATCAGGTTTTGATTTTTGACATATTGCTGATTTCTCAAAGTTTCTGTTTTTAAAAAAACAGTTACTTTATAAAACCAAGGCCACCCAAGAAGTCTGCAGCTTGTACTACACTGCTCCCTAGCCCTCTAAAACTCACTGAGCAACAGCTGGATAATGAATATTTGACCCCGAGCTGAGAACCCTACTGCAGAGAGAACTCCACACCCAGTTTGTTCCTCCCTCTGTCTTGGTTAAGGGAATAATTTTGCAAGTAGGGTGGAGTCTGTTAGGAAGTTATACAGCATCCTGAAGTAGGCAGAGATAAGGCAGCTCTAAATTAAAGAGTTAGAGGTAGGTCATTCTGAGAATATGTCTATTTTTTCTGTGGAAACTGCAAGGAAGTAGTACTGTCTATTAGGGAATCTATGTTAGATTCTGTCATCCCAACAGCAACTTCTGTGTATGAAGAATATCCTAAAAAACTCAGGACACTCCTCCTTTCTCCAGTTCTGAAAACCTGGATCCAGCCCTGAGCTCTTCTCTATTTGTTTTCAATTTTCAACTGATGGTTAAAACCAGACAAAATATTTAGGCTTAAGGATATTTCTCAAGTTGCTTCTTTTATTTCAAGTTGCCATTTTGATTGATTTGGTGGTGTTTGTTTTGTTACACATCCTGGAACAACAGTTTGATGCTTCAGGACCTTACTTCAAAGTTTTTTGTACAAAGGCCAAAATACTAGCCTTGTCGTCACAATAACAAACAGAACAATGCGTAGCTGTAACTAAATTCACAGCAATTTATTAGCACAGCTGTTAGATACTCTAGTACAGAAAGCATAGAAAAGCTGGAAAAACAGCAAATGCACAGACTTTCCCTGCTTAGCAGAATAGACTAGAATATAGCTACAGTTTGCTGTTTTCCAGATTCCACCTAAATATAATGTATTGTGGCTTAAATGGGGTTGGGATTATCTGTTGCCTATTATGCAGTATGTGGAATTCATATATTAAAACTATTAATATAAAAGACATATTACCAGTGACCTAGTATGAACTAATATACCTAGACTCTTACTATTCCTTAATCATTTACCATAAGGAAAGTCAGATATAGAGAATAACTAGCTGACTTTTATCTATGGATCCCACAAAATCAAATAAGGTATCTACCTGTAAAGGCTTAAAATTAAAGCCATAATGCTAAAGATCATCAGCTTCTCTATTGGAGATGGGTTATTTATTGCAGGTTTCCTCACTACTGCTTTTGTTGATTGGGTGATGAGACTCCTACCCTCATAGCTAAAGGAGACTTTAAGGGAGCAATTAGCATTCAAGTTAAAAACATTTATTTATATCTTAGTTTCTCACCTTGCCCAGCGTCTCCGTCTGACAAAGTCTTTCATTGTCTTGTGACCGTGGTAGGACCTACCAAAACAGTTTTAAAGAGGTGTTCATGAGGATGTCAGAGCATCTCCAACGTCAGTACCAACCTGAGAACGCTGTCTATGTATCTGCCCACCAGACATGCCTGCTGACTTTAAAATGCTTAAAAGTATAGTTTGCTAAGCTCACCTTGCTGCCCTACCTCCCTGGCAAATTTCAGTGTTACTATTTCTGTACAAAGGGAGAAATCAAGGCAGACACTTGTCTCTGTTAAAGCACAGTTAATAGGCAAAATAGCAAAGAAGAAATGAGAACTTAAGCATGACATCTGCCTGATAGGATTTTAGGTAGAAGAAGGTATCTCCTTACGCTGGAAAGTCTGCTGCATACTGCCAGCCTTCCCGATCAGTTCCACCTGAAGTATTAAAATCAATATACCAATCGGATACCTATTGTCAAAAAGAGACAATAAGAATAACAAGCACAGTCAATACCTGATGTATAACAAAAATAACCTCTTCTGCTATTTCCCTTCCACCTTTTGGAGTGCAATGACTTGGTAGAAACCTTGGAATACTTGCAATATAAATTTATACAGAGGTTCCCAAGTCTTTTTAATTCAGTTGAAGAGAAAATGATTGGAACAGTCCCACTGAACAAAAAATCCCACTCAATGCTTAACATTCTTTTGACTGTGGAAGACTACTGCTGTTGTATAAAGGGAGAAACCAAGATTAAACACTACGATAAATCCAGGAAGATAATCTGTGTCACCTGAGCCCAAGTCTTGCATCCTACTTGCTATGCCTTGCCTTCTTACTAAAAAGACTTTTAAGACAAAATTTACCCAAGACCACTGCGGAGAAGGAGGCTTGGTATTGATTTTTGTACATTCCTGCAGGCCAGATGCATCGCTCCACATGTATCTGTCCGTGGGCAGACCTCTGTGGTGAAACAGTGTACAAGGAATGCAAGGCCATTTACAACAGCAAATTTAGGATGTAAGGGAAGAAAAGCATATTTATAGCACTTCCTACTTTCATACACAAATCAGTCTTCTATCATTAATCTCTGTATTTAGAAATACCACATGAGTGATAAGGGTAGTGGGAAAGAATCTGCACAATTGCTTCCAGTTATACCAAACCTGAGGACCACGTAAACTTTCCTCTGTAGAGTGATATTCCTCACTACTATTTAAAATCGGAAGGTGAAGCCTTTGTCACAGACACCCATCTATGTGAATACTTTTTCAATACGTCTGTTCAAATATACTATTCAAGGACCCAAAGTATTTAACAAAATATCTATATGAATATGTAGATCCTAATAAGAACTTTGCTGTATGGCCTTAGTAACAAAAGATGTTGCAAGTAGGCACACTTCGTGCACTCACAAAGCAAAGTCTGTAATGTTTTGCTACAAATGATTTGGAATGGAGAATTACAAATCTAGAAAATGGAGAAACACTGCTCCTTCCATCTCAGGTTAACAATAGAAGTTGGAGGAGACCGAAGGTAGAATAACTGTAATAACTATTCTGAAAAGCTAGAACAAACCCCATGTTTCACATTTGACAGTATCTGTCAAAAATTACAGTAAATAAATACAATAAATTTAGTAAATAACCTGCTGCTATATCCAGTGACTGGGTTCCACCGCTGGTTCTCGTAGATGTAAACGCATTTCACATCTGACTGCATGTAAATGTTATCAGCACTAGTGGCCAGTCCTGTGAGAAAGAAATTATTTAGATTATAGTAAAATTAAACCTTAAAAGACCCTACATTTTAAATTCCAATAGCCACAGTAATAGTGGTGATTATCCTATTTCTCACTCTTAAGCTGACAATATAAAACTGCAATACCAGTTCCTTCCTAATGTGTGGTCTGTTCACCGTATAACCATACACGTTAGTTAGGCTAAAGGAAGGACAGCTGAAACAGCTTGAATAGCTGACCCAGTCAGAGAGGTAAGAAATGTGCACACCACAGTAGACCAATTGTCCATACCTTGAATGAAGCCACCTCCATATCCACCAGTATAAACCCAAGCTGTGTGATCATATCCTATGCCCCACACTATGCCTAGGTTATTGCACTCTATCAGTCGAAGATGACCTCCAACTTGACGCCAAAACCTGTGGGAAAAAGGACAACATTTTACACTTACTCTACACCACACCCTTCAGGAATGTATGCTTTTCCTTCCTATTACTGAACAATCTTAAAGGCAGTTGCCAGTTGAAAGCATTTGCCTCTGGGCAACAACTGAAAAGTCAGCTGGAAGGAACCTCTGCCTCCACTTGTAGTTTTCAGGCTTTGAAGTATTTTACTTTCTTTTTATTTTATGGCTTGTTTTTATAGCTATCTATCTATCTGTTTTTTAAACACCAGTTAGGATGATCTTGCTAGAATCTTTATGTCTTAATAGCCATCAACTGCCTCAGCTTTACCTTCATTCTCATTTTTTTAAAATCTAGGAATTGCCTTTATCTAGCAAGAAAACAAATTATTTACATATTTGCTATGGAGCTTGGTAAAAACAAGAACTTCAATTCCTCCTATTCTCTTAAACTTGGCAGGTTAATCCTTTTCTGGGGCTTTACACAGCCAGTTGGCCATCATACTTTTCTGGGGAAGAATGGGGAAAATAGAGATTGCAGAGGAGTATTTTAGCTATCAGAATGGCAGGAGATCATCTAGGTCACAGATAGCCCAAACTAAGATGGAAGAGCACATCTGCTTTGTGATTTGCCAGACATTGAAGGTGCACTACCCTTAAGGAAAAGGGCTAGAGGATCTCTCAGATATTATTCAAAGACACTTTGTGCAAGTAACTTGAAACTGGGGATATTTTTTGAAGATTGGCCTTTAAGCCACCAGCTCTGAGCATGGTATTTTTTTGCTTGACGAGTTTGCAGTACTGTATTGTCACAGTTGTAATAAAAATTGCAAAGGAGCTGCTCCTGGACTGCACTGACTATGGAGGACTGAGAATTTCAGATTTCTTGTCTCAGGTAAAACCAAAGGCTCAAATTACATTACAATTACAGTGATTAGGTTTACTTTTACTCTAGGCCACCTCTTAATTTAAATGATGGCATTAAAGATGTAATCCCAAAAAAACAGAATCTCAGTGAGAAAGGCTTTTGAAATCACAAATAGCTCCAGTATCTAAGAATTCAAATACGATTTGGTGAATTTCTTCAGGTGTACTTATGAATACTAAGGCAGCTGTTAACCTTGTCATTGACAGACATCTGCAGTGTACCACTGACTCGACATGAAAGAGTCTTTGCTGGATGGCATCCCATGCGGGAAGAACAGCTTCTGAAACCTCTTACATTTGATCACATGGCATCAGGTGTGGTCCGGCCTCCAGTTCAGGACTTGGCTCACTAACAAAGATGTCTCCTTTGCAAGTAACAGACCAAATGGCATGGTGAGAAGGAGGGCCCTGAATCCGTCTGCTTTCACAACAGGACATGTTCAGCAAAGACATCTACAAAACAAGAAGCAGAGAACCAAAAGCTTCTGTTTACAGTGAGCACAAAAATTTCCATAGATGTGTCAGTATTACAAAACAAAGTTTTACCTTTTCAGGTTCTGGCAAATCAGCAAAGTGAATTAGCAGCTTTTTCTCAAAGGCACTGAAATTCAGTGTTTTAGAAATTAACAACACAATCACTGGAACCAATGTGGTTTGCAGATCATGATGAAGTATCTTTCAGGTTTTCTATTATTATATAGAATCTTTACATTATTGTATTCATCTTTACTGTATGCTTTTCCATTGTATATATGCCTGCCTGCCTGCACATAAGACTCTATGACAGTAACAACAAGTAACAGTTCTTCTACCTATGCAGAACAGACTAATTGAATTAAACCCCTACCTCATTTGTAGCCTAATCTATATCCGGAGATAGGAAGGGAAGGAAAAACAATAGTGGTTTTACTGTAGATAACTGCAGCATAAGAAAGCATGCAATCTCCAGAGGTAGGGCGCCTCACATGCCTCTACATAAGTTTGGACAGACTTTTTAAATACCTAAACTGTGAAAATAGGAGAGTAGCCTAGGTACTGTAATTATAATGCTGAGATTTCAGACTAGTTATGTTTTATTTCAGATATTACCAGCTTGAAATGAAAAATTCACAGAATTACCCAGTCATGCATTTCTTGCTCTGTTGTGGCTGCCAGGCGGATCGGCCATCGCTGCTTTGTCTTTTCAGGTGTATACAACGCAAAGGAGTGTTTGGCTTCATTCAGAACTTCAACTATAATAGTGACTTCATTCAGGAACATGTGGATATACTAAGAGAAGAGAAAAAAAAATTGCGACTAAGGCAAACTCAGATTCACCTTCCTCAGAGCCAGCATTCTGCACTTCAGGACAATGAATAAGGCATTCCTGCCAAGGGTAGCAAAGAATCAGTTCTCAGTGCAGAAGGAATGGGGCTCAATTTCCAGTCCTGCACTACCTCTGGTTCCTACTGCCAACATGCATTAACCCTACTTATGAAGACCCTGGCCAGCCAAGCTTGGCTCTTTCTTCACAATCAAGAACACTTTGAACTTCCAAAAGAATTTCTAATTAGTGCAAAGCTGATGGTCTAAGCAATGTGAATGGCTGCTGACTGGGTATTTCTGACATAGCATTAACAGAGCTACAGCTTAGAAAAGCTTGCAATTTGCTAGTACCCTGAGCTACATTTGAATTGGTTTCCAAAACCTAAAACAATAGCGTACCATAATTTGTCTCCCTTCAGAAAACTGTTATCCCTTCCCTTCAAAGCTTTTCCTTTGCCCAATGCAACTCCCAAGGGTCTCAAGATGAACACACCTTTTTCTCCTCGTGATACATGTAATAGATGAACAGGATGCTGTCGCGCATTCCATCACTCCCAGTGAACTGCTCAAGTGCGACTCGAACATCCATCCATTTATAAGGCTTCCAATTCCTCCACCATTGCAAGGTTCCAGTTTTAACCCAAACTGACTGCAATGCAAACAGAAATTTACAGGAGTAAGGAAACTGCATGATGACTCTTCTTTTTTCTGCCAAACCTCTGCTGCAGGTTAGTCTGTATCATATCAGTTAATTCTGATACAGAGTGTACCGGTGTTCAAGCGGCTGAAGACAAAATGAAAACTACCAAAACTGGATAGGAAGGCACTTGAAACAGCACGTGTACATCGGTATTAACAATCTACCTCTGCAAGAATACAATAGCACAGAAATACTAATTGACTCTAGTGTGCTTCTTGTTATAACACAACTTCTGTTTGAACTTTGAAGGCTTTTGACGTAATCTTTTTAAAGCGCTGGACTCCCACATGTTTTTAATCAAATGAATTCCAGATGTCATTTGGCAGTTAGCAATGAAGAGACCAAAAATGTGAATGAATCTGAAAAGACCCAAGGAGTCATTACAAAGGGAACATCAAACAAAAGTGCTGCTATTTAAGTGCTGTTATTGACATCTGCATCATTGCTTTATTTATTCAAGTTGCATTAATCCCTTAATTATCGCAGAGTGGGAAAGTTTATCTACTTAAGTCACTGTTTCAATTAAGAATCCTCATCTTGTGGTGAAATAATTCAAACAATGTTCCACTGTTGCAAACGCTGCTCTGTGCATTTCTGTGTACTCAAATAATGCCGACCAATGCTTCATTTGCTCCTATACAAAGCTATCAGCTAATGTTTTCAGATAAATATTGCTGCTCTGTGTTTGATCAGACAGTGATAGTCTAGGAAACTTGTCACAGACAGAAATAAGGACAAGAATATAGAGCTGACAAGTTCAGGTCAGTATATCAGAAATGTATTATTGATGCCCAGTATTGATAGATCTAAGTGTTTAGAAGGCAAGAGATAAGTGTCCTCATTGCTTACCTGCTCAATAGCCTGTTCGTAGTGCCTAAAATTCTCCAGTTCCCGCTTTGTCCTTTCACTGAGCTGCTGAAAAATCTGCTTTCGCCACGCTGCTGTCTGTGCCGGAGTGATAGACAGAGACAGAGATTGCACGGAGGATGACAAACCTAGAACAGAACCCAAACCAATAAACTCCAGTGAGCTTTGAATACAGTTCCGTGAAAAGTAAAACATGATGCTGCTTTTAACACTGGACTGAATCAACCCAGTCTAACATAATTTTTCTAATTATTATTATTTGGAATCAATGTATTACAGACAACTTCATAAATGATGCACAGAAATGGGATCACTGGATGATTATATAGAATCTTAATCTTTGTTGGGAGTTTTGTCACTGAACTGCAAGATAATTAGGTAATAGAGTGCACTAAAGTTACACTGTTATTAAATACTGGGATGCCACAGTTCATGGCTTATTTTGAAATAGTTATATTTCACTGTCTTTCAAGAATCTAAATTCCAACCCCATCCAGTTATCAGTTGGGCTCCCATTCACAACACCTGAGTACTTTCTCTATCTTACCTTTTTCTCAGTAGGAATGGTAGGAGCGAGGCAATTATTTGTGGCATCTGCAACTCTCAAGAGAGCCTTTTTCACTACTTTCAGTTACTATTCAGTGATATTATGGGTTTTGCCTGAAGTTGCGGTTTCAGTGCAATTAAAAATGAGTTGTAGATCCAGCACAGATTATTTTACAAAATTCTTACAGAAACTCAGAGGAAATACCACCTTCATATTTATATATCTCAATCCCAAAGAGCTTTACAGCTAAATAAATGCAGCACTATTCTCAGACATGGCGTGTATTAACAAACTGCAATAAGAGTAAATGGTTATCAGAATTTTTGTGCCATGGTTTTGTTCAAAATAACCAAACCAACGATTTTTGTAAAGAACATATTGAACTGTGACTGGGAGTTAGCGTCCGTTGTGGTGACTGAACAGTACCTGACAGAACAGTGAACCATTTCAATGGGCTGTGCAAATCTACAAGACAGCCGCCCCCAGACACCCAGGCCCACAGTGGGTGCTCATCGGCTCCATACTGTTCATCAGCTCCCACTGAGAACATGCCAAGAGAAGACAGGCTGGATGTTTCTGCAAAGGTGCTGAGGGAGAGGACTGGATGCTTTTGGGCCTCCTTCAAGTCAATGTTTGTCCACTGCAGTTCTGCAGAATGATTTGGGTTTGTAGACTTATGCGTTTCAAGATTAGCTTTCTGATTACTAGTTGAAGCAATAGTGGCTTCTCCTTGATCCACAGAGTCCAGAGGATCCACAGTCAAATTAGCACGTATTTCTTCTGTCTGGTTGCCTGTGCTGTTACCACTGCTGCTGGCTGCAGCTCCCATCGGGGGAACATTGGCAAGGTTCATGGGTACATTTGGAAGTTCTGTATCAGAGGAAGTATCTGCATCACCCTGAATGATTGCGTGCGTTTGATTCTGAATATCATCAGTAAAGAAACAGCCAGCACTGAAGGACAAGGACAAATAGATAATAATTAAATATCATTCAAAGCATTATAAATTAGCACAGGCCTGAGACCACAAACATACAGAAATCAACCTAGTGTTTCAGCTTTAGGAGAGAAACACCAGACTTCTTTTCTGAAAGTCAAACTCTATCATCAAGGGAAAAGAGTCTAACACAAATCTGGCAGACCAGTCTAGTAAATCTGAAACATTGGAAGGTATTTCACTGATCTTTTCAAACAATTGGTGGTGTTGACTGCCTACAACTCTCAGGGGAACACTGAAGCAACATCACATTTTCTGGATATGAAATAGTGAATAGGCTTTTTTAAAGCCCATTATTAATTTCATGATTTTTGTCTTAGCTAGGGGGACTTCTACTCAGAGCACACTCTCACCCAAACCAATAGGTTCTGCAGCACTCCCAGCTTCACTGGCATGTGCTGCACAGCCAGAAGGCCAGCAGTCAGTGGGGAGTTAGTGATTTAATCTCTCTAGGAAAGGAAGTGTACAGTGACACTCAAAGATAATTCCTAAGTAGAGTTGACACTCCTTCATGGTATTTCACAGGTAACATTTTCTCTTATTAGAGACTAGTTCCAGATACTGATAGTAAAGCCCAGAGAAACATGCCTTACTGCAAGCACGCACTGAATTCCAAAGTGGGAGCTGCAGTTTCTACTCCGAATGCAACAGCTGCTGCTTACTGTTAATTCTAATAGCAAAAAACACAATGCTTTTTGGCATATATAATGATTAGAGATGTCTTCCCCATTCCTCCCTGTATGTACCACTTAAATGTAAAGAAATATCTCCTAGCATCGAAACTCTTGGTGTACAAAGTCTCGAGCAGGTATTTTACTAAGTACCTGAGCAAACTTATTGAGCTCCCAGTCTGAGATCTGTCACTCTCTCGGCCAGATACAATTGCCTTCCATGTCTTCCCACTGAGCTCACTTGGTGTGACACCTTGACGAAAATAAATTGCTCTGTCATCACAGCCAATTCCCCAGACCTACGGAAGGAAAGGGCTTGGTGAAAGAAACGGCATGGAACACAGATAGATACCACCTACAAAAAAGGTGCAGTGATGGAAAATACAGCACAAAAATCTGCTGGACATAGCATTTTCCTTTTGTGTTCTTCCTTAATGTTGATACTGTAGATGCAGTATAAAACTCTGTACCATCAAGAGAAAACTGTTTGCACCTGAATGTGTCATACAAGAGACATACTGACTGCTCATCTTCTGGTGAAGAATTCAGCCACACGTTCCTTCCTAGCAGTTCAAGCACATGGACCTCTTGTTCAGCTGTCCATACTGGCACTGCTGACAGTCCTCACCACATGGGAATACTGCCTGTACAAAGGGAAGCAGAATTATCCTCGTAATTGGTATACAGCTGTCTTACCTGGTTATTTAAGCCTACAGTTACCATCATCATTTCTCCAACCATTTCAATCCAGCTTGTTCCACAAGGATTATGTGAGTTCACTCCTCTTCTAAACCACACCTACAACAGCAACAGCAGAAAGTCTAAATTTTGCTCCTTCTGCATTAGCAAGCAGACAGCTGCAATTTAGTTTCCTTAGTGGATTAGTCTTAACCTCTAATACTGGCTTGCCACATTGCCTTAAGAAATCTCTTACCTCTTTGTTTCTTTTCCCTTATCAGGTAAAGATAAAATAATACTCTTAGCACCCAGACTATGTGTCCTTGTGATCAACTTCAGCCAGAGGAGTCCACAAGGAGACTCTTTGTTATGACTGTGACAGCATTAATTTCTCTGACATTGGAAAAATACTTTCTATTACATGTCAACTGTAGGCTATTTTTGGTCACAATGAATGGGCTTCTAAATAGTGTTCTTGTGTTCAAACCTTAGAAGCATGGCTGACGGAGGGAACTGTCAGAGGGATCTTTTCAGTGGTACAGCTCTTTAAATTGTCTCCCCTTAGATTAGTTTTTACCAATCCAAAAGTGTCTGTAGGCTGGGTACTTTGAAAAATTTCCATCTGTATTTAGTATATAGTCATATAGTAGCAAGCAGCTACTTTAGGATTTGTTGGCTGAATCACATAGCAGACAATGTACCTGACTATCTTGTGGCAGATCTCAAGAAATACATGCTAGTTTATCTACATTTACTATAGTGGTTTTCTCCGGCAGATGGAGCAGGCTGGACACAGTCTGTTACCATGGCTCAGCTGACAAGCAGGAACTCATTAAACCAGAGTAACTCAATTACTTATAACTGCTATACATGCACAGAATTCATCCATGGTTTTGAATTCAGTATGAAGGGATTTGATTGCAACCAGCACAAGAGCATTCTAGTACATTCTTCAAGACTTTCAAGACTCCCTGTGAGGCGCAGGGAGTTGGACTCAATGATCCTTATGGGTCCCTTCCAGCTTAAGATATTCTATAATTCTAAATTAAAAACCCAGTAAGAAAGTAATCACACATACACATAACAGCTATGTCAATAAATACAAAAAAAACTACATGAAAAGGCTGATAAAGAAGGAACAACTACAGTAGGAAGATAGAAAAAACAGTATCGTATAGAAAAGCATAGATGAAAATATTCCTCATGCTGCTTTTGATGTAACCTTCAAACCATGTGGAAACAAGACTGCGCAGCTAGGAGTCCCTTCAGTTTCGATGCTTAACATCCCTTAGAAGTAGGCCCCTTATTACATCCCCACCCACCTACCACATCTGTCTGACTTGGGTTTAGAAACTTCCTTCCAAGAGAAAAGCAGAAAGTCTTCCTTAAATTAAATGCAACTATATCACAAACCACAGCAAGCAGAACTAGAATTCCCCAAACGACGGGGATAGTGAGTCCAAGTCACCAACGTTTCCTATGAAAGTTACCTGCCTGTTTGACAAAAGCAGATAGAAAAAGGGAATTAAAAAACAGAACCAGAGCATGAGTCCTCTTACTTTTCTATCCTTTGTAACACACCACACCACATCAACACCCACAGAAACGTGCATAATCCCATTTTCAGAGCTTGGAGATTCCACAATACTCCAGGAAATTCCTGCAAGAAACAAAACCCAGAAGGCAGTGTAGGTTAGTTTCTTATTCAACACTATACAAATCAAAGGGGTTTCCAGCTAAATTTAACAAACTTTACCTTGAGGGTTATTCCTATCAATTCCTTCTCTCACAATAGCTTGGCCTTCCCAAAGAGTTGCCCAGAGGAGGTCATATGGTCCACAGCTGATCTGTACAACTTCACCAGGAGTGGTGATTAAGGACCACACGGAACCTTCTGGATTGTGATGGCAGACATTTTCTCTGTACCATACCTAGACAAAAAAAAAAAAAACAAACCACAAAACAAACAAAACTTAGAAAATATCACTACAACAATGAAACCATTTAGACAAGCATGAAGTCAAACTGGAAGGACAGTCCTCCTTTAACAACAGGATTTTTTTATGCAATGTATGCACTCTGACCTTTAAAGGTAGTTTTTTTTAATGTTGATTATGCAGTTGAAGACTATTTCCTTATGTACTAAGGGAGGAGGCTTTTCTGCAGACTAACTTTTATCATGGAAGTGAATCTGGATACAGTAACTTATTGCTACAAGTTCTGTGTATATTTCAACATTTAAAAAACACTTGAGTGTATTTCTGGGCATGTTATATAAACCAAGAATGAATGAATATACGACACAAAAATGATACTGTTAGATGATAGCCTGACCTTACTTTCGCTCAACAGAGCTTGCCACAATATGGATAAAAAAATGCCATTTTCTGTGTAGCCTTCAGCAACATCCAGTCCATTTGTTAGCTTTGATCCTAGTGTTTGTACACTCTTCTGTAGGTCACAGTCAAAATAGAAAGGTCAAACATAGAAAGCATCCTGCAGTAGTCATACGAGTGCTTCAAAACATGACTGCTGAGTGCTACTCCTCCTTTTTAGAAATACTTTATTTCTCTGGGGACTTTTACTTGGGAAATGAAAGCATTTTACAATGTCAATCAAGTAACCCTGTAGAGTGGGATGCTTGTCACTTGTATCTGGGAAGTATGAGGCATAGGGAATTTTATTTTAAACAATGTAACCACAATTGCTTGCCTCTCTAGGCAGTGCCAAGTGTGACTGAAATCTCAGGCTACCTGTTAAAAGTACTACATTCTTCCCTGTGAGGCCACAAGTTAGAAATCATCTAGAGACAAAGGAATGTCAGATACATGCTGTAAGGGTGAAGAAAGGAAAGCAAGAGTCAAATCTTTACAGCACTGAGCAAAAGAGGAGAGACCTTATGGTAGGCCTAAAAACGGAAAAGAGAGATAAATAGTTTTCAGCAGAAAATGAATTGAAAACATTCCAGAGCTGGATTCCACATTGCCAAGTCAGGAGGTTACCATTTTCTGATCAGTAAGTCTTAGAAAACCATTTTGTAAATTCTTGATCAATTCCTGAATCTCCACCACAGCGACACCACACAATACTTTGCAAGAACCTTTATCAGGTTTTAAGGCTTGTTTTCTTGTTACCAGTGCCACAGTCTGCATTCTGGGCATCTGTCAGGATATAAGACACTACTCAGCCCAAGTTTTTACCATTCACCTGTTTACAGAGGTTTAAAGCTTCCAGAAAACAGCAACCCTATGAGAGACTAAGCCTTTGGATTTACAACACAAGTCATTACATAATGTAGTCCCAAAGCAGCTTTTACATCCTCTGCCAGATGCACAAACAGCGTTATTTCCTTACCAACATAAGACAGTAACAAACCTGCCTTGCTTCAAAAGCATTTAATTAATTTTCAGTAGCAATTTATATCAGAAAACTGAGGGAACAGGCACATACCCTTCCTTGTAAAGAAACCGCCCATACTGATAAACGGCCAAGAGGCTCACTGGTGATTTCCCATCCTCCGATGGAGATGTCATTGAAAGGGTCTCGCAGTTTATCTGGATCATCACGTGATACGATCTGAAGCAAAGACAAGGAAGACTGAGAAGAGGAGATACTGCAGAGAGGTGATTTGGCTGGTGGCCTGACTTGTTTCTTGCCAGTTGGTTTATGTATCACTTACTAAAGTGGCTGAGCACAGAGATTCTTCCTCTCATTGTAGGCTGCTATACACAGACAGAGGGGAAACGCTGCCAAAGCAGCACAAAGAAGTCTGCGTTTCATGCCCTAACTAAAGGAGATTTTCACTCACAGAACTGTGCATAGAGACGTTCCTTGAATTAGAAAGCTGGAACATCATAAATTACAATTTTTGTACATTCTCAGAATGGAACAAGTATTAAAAAACAGTTGTTCACACAGATAAAGGACAAAGCTGGTGAATCATGCTAGACAGGTGTCATCTCAAAAGAGAATGCTTTGCCAAACAACCAAAGGAAGCTAAAAAGTTGGTTTGAAATTTGCAAAGGAGATGAGCATCTATCTCCAATTGCATTACTGTGAGATTTGGCACCTTACTGCCACAGGTTTCTATGCAAAATTCCAGCCCTCCATTTATGCTTGCAAGAATTACAAGTTGGATGTCCAGGAATCCAGGTCCAGCCTACAGAGCAGTGATAAAAAAAAAATTCATTTCCCTGCACTTATAATTGATTATTTCAGAAAATCAGTTTATTTCATATTTAAAAGATATCCCGAACCTGTGCCCAAACATCCCGTGATTTGTATCTCCTGTATCTGATCCACCTCCTGCGTCTGACACAAGAATTCCATTTCTTATCCTTTGTGTAGGTGCTGGGGAAGTCTATGGCATAAGTCCAGCCCTGCAAACAGAGGTTTTTTTGTATGAAAATCAAGACCACGAGAAAGCTTGAAATCATAACTTGGAGCAATTCTGCACAAGTCACTCCTACAAATACAGTACAAGTTACTGTGCATGTCTCAACAGCCCTGATTAACAGATTAGCTAATTCCATGAACTATTTATGGCTTATATCCAAATTCCTCTGCATGATATACACAGAAAGACAAGACACAGTAAAGCATTTTAGTTTCTTCATAGTAAAGATCTTAAATAACAATGGCATGCAGTTGCTACCATTTCATGGCCTGATCAAAGGAAAAAAGCTTCTATAGAAGCTCCTATAGACTTCAAAAGCCTTCAAACAAGATCCTTCCTTGTGTTATATTATAGTTGAGCGATTTCCCAGAAAGAAGTAGCTATAGGAAGTTAAGTGCCTTTTATTTTTACAGACCTTTTACGCTTCTATAGAAGTGCCTTTTATTTTACAGACTAAGGATTCCCAGAATAAATCTCTTTTTGGTATTGTTCACCTACCCCTTTCTCTGTTGGTTCCCCTCCAATATTTTCATCCACATACCAGTCAGACTCCCACTCCCAGTGTGGTGAAGGCAGTGTGAAACTATCAAGCTGCTGATGTTTTAGCCCGCTCACATCACTCCACTGCCAGCGGTCACTGGGCAGTAATTTCTCACAAAAGCCACCAACTGGATTCCAACGCTGCCAGAAATAATAAAATATTTAATTGAGATCACATAATCTCATTGGACATCTATAGGAAGTCATAAATGATATATTTCTTACTTTCTGCAGTAGAAGAGGAATAAATTCCTGGGATGAATGAGAAAGCGTTCACCCTTTAAGCCCCTACCTAAAAAAGCTTCTTCCAAAGTCTATGTTAAGTATCAGAGAAGGGCTGACTGCAGAGCTAGTCCCAACCAAGTCATTTTCAGTTACATAAATAGGGATGTCTTACATATTTTACTACTGCTTTTTTCTTTGGTGATGTATGGCACTACGACACTGCAGCATTAGGATAATGCTGTATAGATGGCCATGGGATCTCTAATCTACTCCCTGTGAGAAAGATAAGTACCTTGCCCGTACTAGAAAAATAGCATAGCTTCTGTGCCAGAAACTATGTCAAGGTAAGTATATTAGTAAATCTTTATCTTATATCAAGAAGGGTTTTTTTTCCAAATCTGGCTTTAGTCAGTTACAGAACAAATAACTTGCTAGGGTTTTCACCATTGCAGCTGTGATTTTCCTTTTTTTCCTCACACTCTTACCTACAACAGGAAACTGGCAAAATTTGTCATGTAATACTGTCTTAGATTTTAGGGCACATGGAAAATGACTGGTTCAAAATCATTCTATAATTTTTATGCAAAATATTATTTACTTTTACTAGGAATCTGGATAAATTGCTTTGCACATAATCTGTAAGCTATTTGAGTTTAATTTTGTCATTGCTAGCTCTTGCAGAATATTTCCTTTTGTGCTTCCTAGTATTTTGTTTTCCATTTTTTTCATAGCCTAGAACAAACAAAAAATTTTTAAAATAACAAATAAATTAAAGTTTTCCTTTTTTAAATAACATGTTTACATAACAAAAGGAACATTCTTAAATGGCTGGAAAGTTGTATCAATGTTAAATAATGTATTTTTACCCATACAGGTAAATGAATGTCCTTTCTCAATTTATATTTATCCCATTGCCCATTAGAAATCAGAGAAATGTGCTCAAGAAAATCCTTCTGTTTTCTCTCTCAAATAAGTTTTGGTTAATTTAAAAACAAAATGGATAAATTTCCTTTAAAGTACTATTTTAAAGACATTCTTTTGAAGTACATGACACAGGAAGGATCATCTTAACACTTCTATGCAAAAAAGCTGGTAACACTGTACTTTACTGCAGAGTTATGACTTTATTAGAGAAGTCTCTGAAACACTAAAAAATAGCATTGTCTTAAGAGTAACATATTTCTGATATTGTGTCTTTGTTGCCTGGAACATTTTCTTGTGGGGATTGTGTATTTGTCATTAAGGAAAGGAAGACATCAGGTTCAGACATTCAGTCTGAAATGGCTTGCATGAAACAGGCCATAGTACACACTGGTGTTGCTTTTGGTAAAAGCAGGGAAGTATAACCTTCCTTTGAGAATTAAAATATGAAAATAATATCCTGCTATTTGGCACATTTATACTCTTCAGAAACATCAGATAAAAAATTAAAACAAATAAAACCAAACAATCTTTCTGTGAGAAAAACATCCAGAGACAGCTGATGTACAGATTTGCTATCATTGCTTTCTGATGAAGATGTGGCAGTGTGATAGAGGTACCTATAGCACGTCATACCTGATTCTCATAGGTTTCTTCTTGGTATCTAATAGGAACATCACCTGAGAACACGTAGGTGTATACTTGATGATCACAGGCTATTCCCCAGCAGCACTGTTTGACAGCAGAGATGCGTTTGAATTCCAGCTGTGTGTCCTTACAGAGCTCCCAGTACTGACCAACGGTAGACAGAGTGTAAACCCTCCCAAAAATGTCAACAGCCCACAAAAGGGAACTGGGCATGGCCATGTCTGGAAGGCAAAAAGGAGGCATTAATGGAAATGACAGTTTTAAAAAATGGATCTTGAGCCTTCTGTAGATCAGTCCTGCTCTGAGCCATTATCAGTCAAATTAAATAAAGATGTAAAGAATGATCTTTTTAAAAGAGCCCATGCAAAGCTGGCAACGAGATATTTTTCAGTCAGAGCTGTGCCATTACACCTCTTAGATGGCTCTGAAAAGCCACATCAAAGCCCTTGCTACCAACACACTTCGGTCCATCCTACAAGGGCTTACCACATCAACAGGGCAGTTTCGGCAGGCTGAGGACAGAACTCAACACTGAACTGAGATGAAGTAGCACTGACCATTTTACAGCAGAAGGCTTCACTCTCAAGAACTAGGAATGCTGGTGGTGCTATACGCACCGATCATCTCAGTTCCACAAAGCCATCATATCTTACATTATCTCCTTCTCAGCCTCCTCTCAGTGTATGCCAACATAGCTATAGAGGTACAAAGGAAAAAATGTGAAAGGGAGCTTCTCCATAAGCACACATCTAGTTTTAATCCATGGACGTATTACCTACTGCTGCCAGGAAACCTCCATTCAAAGCATTCTGGTGACCACTGTGGGATCTGATCTTTACTTAAGGTGCACAGGTGTGATATTTATTTAAGTATACATAGAGTGTCATTTGACAACAGAGACCTGGTTGAGTTCCACTCAATAATTAAGTTCCACTTAATAACCTGCCATCTTCTGGGCCCTGCAGCCCTGCCCCTCATGGAGGGCTCAGCATTTTATGTGTGGTAAGTGTATGCCAGCCCTTTTAGAAGTCAAGAAAGGCCAGTGGGTTTCTGTCACTTGGCCTTCTGGGTGCCATTAAACTGAACAAATTTCAGTCGTTCTGTATGCCTGACAGTCAGAACTAGTGATTAGGATTTTGAACTTTGCCTCCAGTTCTATTACTATACAGTGGGGGACCAGGGCAGGAAAGGTAGAAAGGATAACTCAAAACCAACATAACGAAAGGAAAGAGGAATCCTTGCTTGGAGACACTGTGGATCACTACTTCCTTGTCAAACAGCAACTGTGCTTTCAACGCAAGTGCCTAAGGAGACTTGCCTGCCTGCCTTCTGACTGATAATAAGCGGTGATACAGAGAGACTAACCTGTATGGCAGATTTGAATGGAGGAGGTGAAATCTGGAAACAGCTAGGCCCGTGTCAAAGAGCGGCACAGTAAGTTCACATGAGATCCCAGGGAGGATGTTTCAGAATTCTGAGTCCTACAACTGCTGCTGCTAAGTACCTAAAAACCTGAATCCATCAGGTGAATAACAGGTAATAGCGAGAAGAACATTTATAGCAGCTGAGAACGAGCAAGGCCAGAGGAAGGTCATGAGCAAAATTCTCCTATTAGCTGTGGCAACATAACTATGATGAAGCCTCTAGCTTCAACTTTTTTTGTCGTTGATGCCGGGAGTATGAAGGCATGTATTACTGCCATGGTCTGCTCTTGGACCCATCATTTATCTTCCTTATATCCTGACTTTCTATGTTAGTAAAAGTATGATAGTACAGAAGGACATAATATAGAAAAAACGGAATGGAACAAAGTGAACATGAGGTGTACCACTGGGAAAACAAAGGCCATGAAAATAACCCTTTCAGTATTATCATTCAGTATTTCAGCACTTAAAATTCTGCAAAACAGTCTTTATAACAGAGGAAAATATTATGCATTTAAACCTTAAGCAACAAGAACGTCAGTGAGTCTGAAGTAAAGGAAGGTTTATATGCAAATGAAGATATCCACCCTGCCAGATAATAAAGAAGAGTAATGCTTAGGTGTGTTAAAGGTGGGCAGATACACAAATGAAGGCCTGTACCTGGAACGACACACCAGGCAGGCAGAAAAGTACCTGGTAGAGTTCAGAAAAAGGCAGTGAAAGTTCCAAATGTTACGAAGTTAGGAAAAATATAGATGGGACACAATTAAAATAACCCAGGCAGCTGCAGCTAGATTAAAATACTCAAAGGCAGCCAAGATAATGAGACTTTCTGCATTTTCTTTCTTCTGAACTTTTGAGAGAGTAGAGAATCATGGAAAAAATCCCAAATGCATTTGGGTTTATGAACTACTTTAAAGACTTCAATTTTGCCCCTCTGTACTGGTTGTGCTGCAGGAGATGAAGTCAGATGTTCCTCGATTTTGAAGGATGCTCAGCACTTGTGGCTCAGGTGCATTTCAGTTAATGCAATTGCAGCCTGATATTCTCAGGGGGCTGGAAAAAGACCCACACCTGCTAAATTCCTCCTCATCTCCGAGTTCATCCAGGTGATTTCTGTTAGAACTAAAATTACTCAAATGAAGATGGTATGTTGCTAATTTAAATTTCCAGCTGCCTGGCATAACACTGATTGCTAGAGAATTCAAGAAACACACCCCAACCCCTTGCATATCATAAAAGTAATGAAGTTCTTCAGGGGAAGGTGGACGTGCCCCCATCTTCAAGCGGGGGCAGGATCTTGTGTCGGTGCCCGCGGGGGCGGACCACCGCAGGACTTACCGTGCGCCCCGATAAACCGCTTTGCCTCCATTTCAAGCGAACGCACAAGCCTCCCCGATTACTCGTACAAAGCCAGGTACGCAACGCTTTATGTCTGCGGGCGGCTCCAAGAGCTTTACAAACTGAAAGCGTAAATAATACCCAGGCACGCCCCGAGGCGCAGACAGCGGAGGGCGCCCGCCGCTTTCCCAGCTGGGCGTTAAGGCCGGGTCGGCTGAGGAGGGTGGCGGGGCTGGGGCTGCTGAGGGCCGGCCCGGGGGGAAGGCGGGAGCGGCTCTCCGGCGGTGGCAGAGCAAACCCGCTGCCCGAAAACACCCCGCGGAACCCCCCTACCCGCCATCCCCGGGAGAGGGGCGGCTCCTCCCGCCGGTACCGGAGCCTCCTCCGGGTCCAGCGGCGGCCCGCCCCTCCAGCCGCGCTGCCCGCCCCGCTCCCAGCGAGCGACTCTGCCCCAGCCCGGCCCCCGGGGGCTCGCCCCTCACCTGCCTCTCTCCTCGCCTCGCAGCGGAAGGAGCCGCGGCGGGGCTGGGGCTGGGCCCGGGCCCCGCAACGGCGGGCGGGGAGCGCCGCGGGTCCGGGCGGCGCAGCCATTGGGCCGGCGGCGGGGCGGGGCGCGCTGGCTGGCTTCGCGCAGCCTGGCTGGCTGGTTGTCTGTCTGTCTGTCTGCGCGCAGTCTCTCTGCCTCCGCGAAGCCGAGGCCTCAGGCCGGCGGGGAGCGCTGGGGCCGGGGTCTGCAGTGAAATTCCGGGAAAAGGGCGCTGGCAGGCACAGCCGCGCAGGGCGCGCACTGGTTACAGGCAGGATTAGGCAAATCAGCATTTTTCTGAAATTACGCTTACTCTTGATGCACCAGTAAATGTCTTGCTGAGGTGCAAGGAAGGAGGCGGCCTTTACTGTCACAACTGGTAGCAGCGTGGTAGTAGTCCTTCCCAGGACACCAGCGGTGCTGCTTTACCATTTATTGTAGGTCACCGTTGTGACTTGCCCTGCTACAGAATGATAACCGCCCTTTGAAAGTGCCTACTTACAAATCTCAGGTTTTGCCATCACATTCCAGTTCATTCTGAAGTCAGTCAGAAAGTTAACAAAATAAGCAAGAACTTCCATGCCTGTCTGTCTATTCAAATAACCAAACATGAAAGAGATTTGCAAACAAAAAGCATCTCAGATCTTTGTGTATCTCAAAGGCACAGTAAAGGAGGGTGAAAAAGAACCGTCTTTCATTTCAGGCTGTTTTCAAAGGGAACTGGCAGATCTTTGTGAATCCAGCCTGGGGAGTTTCTAGTTGCTGGTTAAAGAGAATAGGTCTGTCTTGCACTTGTTCTGTGGCCTGTAGGTTCAGATGGTTTTGGTGTGCTGAGAGTTGTGGTTCAGACGGTCAGTGTACACATTAAATTCTCCAGAAGTATGCCTGTGTGAGGCAAAACCATCCTGTCTGGGTCGTTTCCTCGTGAGCCCCAGGGACACTTGACTCATGCTTCTGTGGTTTGGTCCTTTGTGGCTCCCTCAATGCAGCACTTTTGCTCCCTCGTAGTGTTTTGATGATTTGATCATTGTTGTAAAATATCTTTATAAAGACCAAGTAGTGTTTAGATCCTAGGAAATTAATTCTGCAAGGGTAGTAGCAGTTGTGACTGATACATTTGACATATATTCAATCCAGTTTCTGTTTTAAGCAGGTAGAAACAAGACTTTTGTTGTTTTCCATGGGAATTGGATTGCAATAGAATTTAAGGAGCATTTTCAAGGATTTTCTCAGTTTGGTTTTTGAACCACAGTCCTGTAATCCTACAGGATGGCTGCATTATTGATTGATAATGGAAGAAGTTCACATAAGTCACAACCTTTACAGTTTTCTTACGCTTATTCTAAGGAGGACTTTACATGTGAAACCAAATGAACGCTCTCCGTAACACTGGCAGCAGGTAATTTTTTTGTGGTCTGTACCTGGCTAATGAGTATGCTGGCTCTGCTACATCCATCTGTAATTTGCTGTAAAAGTTAGGAATGAATTGATGCCTTATGAAAACTCTTGTTTGGTTTTGGTGTCCAATGCTGTGTCTTGTTTTGTTCCGTTGCTGTTATTGCTATAGAGACTTCCATTCTGTAAGGAGCCAACAAGAGAAAGGTTTTGCAAAAACAAACAGGTAAATATAAACTGGTCTTCATTTTGCTGCCTATTTGAGCAGTGGGTTTGCTGTATAATCCTGGGGCCCGGGGTTAATGGGAACTTCAGTTCCAGTCTGTGGCCTGTGCAGCATGCACCCCAGGTCTGCCCTGAACGGGGGCCCCAAGGCCTTGCAAATGAAGCAAAACATCCAGATAAAATTTCCTGCTTCTGTCCTTCAGTCTCATGGTTACTGCTGACTCAGGACAGAGTTATCTTCAGTGAGCCAGGTCTCACTTGGTTAAGGCTGCTAGCCCTTGTCGGCTGTGAAGATTTCCCTTGGTTTTGCCCATAATTGTAGATGTCTAAATACAACCTGCAGTGTACCACTGAAAATGCAGGTAGGGGAGGTATTACCCCTGTGACTGGGACATGTCTCTGACCTAGGCAAAGCTAGAGCATGCTGAAATTAACTTTGTGAGTTTTTAAACCTCTTGTTATTACAAAAGACTTTGCTCTGTTCAAAGCATAATCAAGATAATTTAAATCCTGTTTCACTGTTTTGCAGCTGTTGTCTTAATGCAGTTGTAGATGGGTCATACATGTAGTTTCCCTGCTGTCTGCTCTTCCATGCTTTCCCAAATCTCACTTTAAAATTTTTCCTTGTCACTTGACATTCATTTTAGGGAAGTATCTTTCCCTAATGAGGAAGTACTGTGTTGCATTTGTGCTTTTAAGATTTTTCTTTCAAAAACCTCATGTGATATTTATACTACTACAGTTACAGTAAGCAAAAGCTTTCCCCACAGTAGGAATGGTCTTTAAATGTCACTGCAAACCCTAGGCAGGAGACAGAAGGCAGGAGGGATCCTCTCACCATCATGGGATTCTGGCACTGGCTTGGATTTTGGGCCATGCAGGCTGCATCCCTATCTGTTTCAAGAATTTGTTTGATTTTGAGGCATATTGTTCAATCTCTTTCCCTTTACTGATTCCCCGCTCTGCCATGAAATGAGGCTAAACCTTCCCTACTGCAGAGGAGCGCTCCTGTATGTGGGAGTTGCTCGTGTTTGCTGTGGTGATTTGGTGAATCAGACAGCTCAAAGGATGCAGGTGTGGAGGGAAGAGGCTACAGTTTTAACTGTGATAACTGTGTGGTTAAAATCCTTTCATCAGCATCTGGCACGAGCTGTCCAACCATCGAGAACCCAGACTTCAGTTTTGTTGAACTCATTCCTTTAGTTTACTGTACAGGAGGAAAGCAGCATCCCCCTTGCTTTCCTCTTCCTTCCTTCAGTGTGGTTTTTAACTTGAATGTTTCTTCAAATCATGTGAGTTTTCTTCTGCTTTTTTTTCAATCTCTTTTCAGAGAATTTCCCTCTTCTTGCAACGTTCCCTATCTGTGCCACCACTCCTCAGCTCTTTTTTTCCCTTAACACTCTTCCCAGCAGGGTTCTAAGAGTTTGCTGAAGTCACTACAGGACACAGCACTATTTCCTTCTGATTTTTGCTTTCTCCTCAGACTAGGGGTTCTGTGTAAACACAGAATATTTTAATATATATATATACACACACACACTGAGACTCCCTCAACCTTTCGATCTTCTCAGAGCTCAGCTTAAGTAACTTGGCTAGTACATGATTCGAAGCGGCTCTTGGCCTTACCAGAGGAGCAGAATCGATAACCCCTCGCAACCCTCTGCCCGTTCACGTCCTCGGGGTGTCCCCGGGAGGCGCAGACCCCCCGGCCCCACGCGGGCTGGGGCCAGGCCGGTGACCAGCCGAACCCTCGCCCTGTTGGGGCCGCCCGTTCCCAGCAGGGATTGCATCTCGAGAGAGGCGCACCCGGAGGACAGCGATGCTGCAGGGGGTCTCGGCGAGCATGTTAACAATCGGCTTAATTGAACAATAATCTGCAGGCCGGGTGACTCGCGGTAGCGCGCGTGTGCCGCCGCCGGCTGCTGTCGTCTCTGTACGCGGGCAGCACGAGGAGCGCGCGTACACACACACACACACACACACGAGCAGCGCGTTTGCACCCCTGCTGCCGGCCTCAGACCGGGGAAGGGAAAGCGGCCGTCGGGGCAGCGCGGGGTGGAGGCGGCGCGGCCCCTTTAAGGCCGCGGGTTTCCCTGCGCCTTTCGGGCGAGCCGCCCCGGGCCGCTTGGGGAGCGGCGTCACGTGGGGCGCAGTCTTGTGACCGGCCGCGAGCGCGCGCCCAGGGGGCCGCTCCCGCCGCCGCCGCTCCCTCGCGCCCGGCCCCGGATGCGCGGGGCGCCGCCGCTGGGGCGCTCGCGCCACCGCTGAGCTCCGGCGCCCCCGGGCGGGGCGGAGGGGGCGGGGCGGCGCCCGCCAAGTTGGGCGCTGAGGCGAGGGCGCCGCTTCCTCTCTTCGCCCTCCCGCCGCTCCGCTCGGCTCTGCGGGCCGGCAGCGCCGCCGCCGCCCCCCCTCCCCCCCCACACCCCCCCGCCCCAGCATGGACAACAAGCCCCTGCTGCAGGAGCGGCCCCCCGCCTACAGCCCCGCCGCCCAGGGCGCGGGCTACGACTACGGGCAGAGCAACTACGGCGCCATCCCTGCCCCGCAGCCTGGCTTCCAGCCGCCCCCGCCCTACCCCTACCCGGGCGCCGCGGCCGCCGCAGGTGGGTCTGAGGGGAGGGCTGGCCGCCAACTCGGGGTGGGGGGACGGGGGGGCTACCGGCGTCCAGAGGAGAGCTTCAGCCCTGATTCTCTCTTCCTCGGGCCATGGGGCGTCTCTGGAGAGGCGCTTCTCCCCCCTCCCGGTGACTGGAGCGGGGCGGCGCTGGTGGTGCCCCCGGGGCCGCAGGCCCTGGGGAAGGGCCCTGGCCTGCGCTGCAGAAGCGGGGAGAGCGGGGGAAACTCCTGAAGCCTCTTTGGCGTGGGGCTTCCCCCTCAGGAGTAAGGCGGTCGGGTCGTCTTAGCTTAAAACCAGCGCAGGGAGGAGGGTGCGCGGGGGATCCCGGTGTTCAGAAGAGCCACCTCCCTTTCCCCTCGTTCCCTAGGCGCTTCTGAGGTGTAACGTCGTGCTTGTGTTTTGCCCTCCCCGAAATACCGACCGAGTTTGCATGCATCCCTCGGATGTGTGGGTTTTCCACCTCAAAACAATGGCCAGGAGGCACAGCTGCACTAGCAGTAAAACAGACCCCAGATTTGCAGTTTTATTTGCATACACTTCACTGTACTCTGGTTAATGTTTGTTTTTTCTAATACACTTCAGTAGTCTTGGAGAGACTTAAGCAGGTGAGTAGATACGGTACTTTTGTTAACTGAATTAACACTAACCTACATCAAAGAAAGAAGTAGCCTCTCAGACTGTAGAGTTAAGGGAGTGCTTCAGAAGTTACGAAAAATACCCAGCAGACACAGACCCCAGTCATCAAGCATTGGGTTGAATCTTGAGGCCATAAATTGATTTCCTGCTGATAACTTGGAGCTTATTTTCTTACAATACAAATGTTACTGATTGT